AAAAAAAAAAAAAAAAAAAAAAAAAAAAAAAAAAAAAAAAAAAAAAAGGTACTCCAGTTTACTTTGTGAATTCGTATGAACATAGAAGTTGATGCACTTAAAATTCAGATTGTAAGAATTCTGATAAAAAAATTGCCACTTTACCCTGAAGGCTGCAGTTACTTGCATTGTTCCCCCTCCCCCCGCTTCCTTCATAAAGACATTTTGAACATGAAGCCTTTATATTTTGTTCAGTAGCAAAGGTCATTTATTTTTGAATCATCTGCCACACAAGTTTCAGTAACTTTAGAGTCTTTCCCCCCAGAATAAAACATTTAAAAATTCAAGAGTATAATTAAATTTATCATTTTACCTACACAACAGAATATCTAAAGTAACAAAATTACCAAAGAAATACAAAATTGTGAATTCAATTTAATGTAAAAACCTAGTGAAATTTAAACCTGCCCCAAACAGTGTTTGAAGAGAAAGAATACAGTAAACACTTTAGACTGAAAGTGAAAATCCAACTTTTCATTTTGATTGAGATATGTTTAAGAAAGTTTGAAAACTATTAATAGAGCTTCAAGTCTTCCAGTTTAGGCATTTACCTTGTGCTTGGCTTTTTTTTATTTTTGTTCCAGAAGAAAACAATTGTACCCTGGTGTTTGGTTTATACGCCTTTACACCACCAGACTATTTGACCAATTACATTAACTGAAATGAAGAATTTCTTGAATTTATAAAAACTAGAAAATGGAGCAACAATTCAAGAAGGACATAAAAGGACTTCTAAAATGAAGACATCTAGTTTCCCCTTCAGAATTATGACTTAAAGTAATTGAACTTGCCTTGCTTTTCTAATGAACTTTTTCCTTTTACAAAAGTGTTTCTGAATCATTGCTATATTTTCTAGTATCATCCAGAATCCGTTCACTGCCATTGCAACCCACATTAAGAGTGTCCCCCTTTTGGAACCATATTCTAAACTAAGCATTTTTCTTCAAGGGGTCCTAAGTATTAAATTTTTAGGAAATAAACTTCAATATTTTTATCTCCCCATAGATCTTTGGTAAGAGCTCCATAATACACTGTACTTAACATACAGAGTCAACACTGCAGAAATGTAGTGTAATGCCCCAATCTAATGTAAAACTTACACCCTCAAAAAAATTTTCCCCCCCCTCTTCTAGTTTTGTAAAGTTACATTCCTAGAATTCCCCAGTTGAGTTTAACTCCTTGAGGAAATCTAAAATTAATCCTTAAGGCTGAATAAAACCCAGCTGCTTTACTTTTTTGCACCCAGTATTAATACTTGATTGAAACGATACACTGATTTGAACTCTCAGTCTGGGTGGGTTTGGTTGGTTTGTTTTTGCCATAACTTGCCAGTCAGACATCTGAAAACTTATGGCAAGCGAGCTGCTTGCCCTTAAAAAAAAAAAACTATATATGGAAGTTTACATTCATAGTCATATGCTCACTCTCTACACCCCACCCTCATTACTAATTACTCAATGGATTTAAATTCAGACATTCAACACAGTTCCTTTCATAAAGAATTATAGTAACGTTACTGAAACAGAGGGACAAAAATATTTAGAACTACTTTCATGAGTTAGATTGTGGTCTTGCAAAAACTAAGTTGTGATATAAATGACTTCTTCAAACGCCAGTTACTCAAATGTTAAAATGATTAATTTCTGTTAAAGTTTAGAACTGAGCTTGCTTATTCAAATGATTATGATATGGAAACAAATGGGGGGGGTTTGCAGCTGATAAAGATGCATGCTTTTCAGAAAACATGAGATTTTCAAACTTTGGAAGAGGAAATGTCTCCAAAAGTCTCAAGATTAACAAATACATCTTTCCTATATTGTAAGAGAGGCAAGACATGACTTGATTTTTGCCTAATGGTAAGTTATTTAAAATAAAATGAACAGTAATGCTTACACATTACTGCTACACTTTCTGGAAAGAAGATATCCCGCACCGTGAGGAGACTGATACATAACTAGTTAAGACTGCAGCTAAACATCATTAACTTTGCAATGCAAGACATAGGAACTGTGATTAGAGTATAACTTGAAACTATTACATCATTCACATTTTATTCGTTATATGGTTGCTATGTAATATGGGGAACTTATTTGCATCCCTACTCATGCATGATGTATGGTTCAGAACTTCACAGCTGACATTTCAATGCAGTTCTTGCATTACCTCAGATATGTACTTTGAACATATTACAATGGTATTCTCACTATCTACCACTGTAGGCAAGGTTTTATTTACCATGTTAGTCTTAGATATGAAAAGACAGATTTAAAGTTACTATTTAGTTACAGATTAAGGACTTTTTAAAAAGAAGTCCTCAATATAAAAAGACAGACTGCAGTTTGATTTTAAGCAATAATTTTCAGTTTACTGATGAAACAGACCTAGCAACATATTCTGCATGAATGCAAAAAGAAGCAAACTACAGCAAGTGATAAAGAAAAAAATTTCAAAAAAGTAGAACCAGAAAGCATACATTGAAAATGGTTACCCCTTCCCCCAGCAAAAAAAAAAAGGAATCAAACCATAATAAGGGCTAATCAAGAGAGGAAAAAAATTACTTAGCAAATCTACAGTGTGTCTTTCCCCGTTTGCTGGAAGTCTGCCATAGCATCTAGTACTTGTGTTCGTGTCACATTTGGAGGTTACAGCATCCTAACGCCAAGCAAGAAGAGTTAAAACAGGAATCCAGTCAGCGTGTAGAAGGAAAGGGTGGTAACTGGAGAAGAAGTGATCATAATCCCATGGATGCTTGGTTTTACTTTTTCGGTAGAGAATCATTCTTCTAGGAAACCAGGCGGACTATTTTTTTTTAATTATCTGCAGACTAAGTAGTTATTGTTATCATTAGGATTTATAATTGGACGTTAACCATGTCAGCCCTTCATAGAGTCCATCCCCTGTGGTAGCACAGGAGGGCTGCACGTACCAATTCCTATCCCTGATTCGGGTGAGGCCCAGTTTCTCCTGGATTTCATGGGGTTTCATAGCATCGGGCAGGTCCTGCTTGTTGGCGAAGATCAGGATGATGGCGTCCCGCATCTCCCGGTCGTTGATGATGCGGTGCAGCTCCTGGCGGGCCTCGTCGATGCGGTCGCGGTCGGCGCAATCCACCACGAAGATTAACCCCTGCGTGCCCGTGTAGTAGTGCCGCCACAGGGGGCGGATCTTGTCCTGGCCCCCGACATCCCACACGTTGAACTTGACGTTTTTGTAAGTCACCGTCTCCACGTTGAAGCCCACGGTGGGGATGGTGGTGACGGACTGGCCCAGCTTCAGTTTGTACAGGATGGTGGTTTTACCGGCCGCGTCCAGCCCCAGCATCAGGATCCGCATCTCCTTGTTGCCGAAGATCTTGGACAGCACCTTGCCCATCTCGGCGGCATCCACGGGGCCCCCTCGGGGCGGGGCAGAGCCGAACCCGGAGGCCGCTGACCCACGTGCTGCGGGAGGCCGCGCTGTCCTCGCCCAGGGCCGCCGGGCCGGGAGGCGGGGCGAGGCGCTCGGCCGGGGGAACACGAGACTCACCGCCCGGGAGACGGGTTACCGG